TCATATCTTGTCCAAGAGACCAATTGCTCCAAACCTATACTAGTAAAACTTTTGTAATTCCAACATTTTTTTTAAAGTTCGTATTTATGAGCTGATTTCAGATTTATGATTGGGCCTTACCCTCCTATTTAAGCAAGTAAAAGAGCAGAATGGGTAAGTTTTGTGACCTGACGTCAAAAAAAATGAAAACAACGTATCTACCGTAAAATACGTTAATGGAGAACTTACCATAAAGAGAAGAATGGGATAAATATATTCTCTCACCATTAGCATCCAATTTAAAACTAAAAGTCAGCGTAATTGTAATTAATTAGGGCCAGGCAGACCTTTTTTTTTTTTTTTTTTTTTATAACTACAATAAAGCAAAACAAAGAATAATGCTACTCAAGGGCATCTTGTTTTTTGTACTTTACAGGTAGGGCTCCCATGTTTTGCTTCGTCCGAGTTGCGCGCCACCCATGCATGCACATAAAGCAAAAGCTACCATACTTAGGTAGCGTTTGGGAGTGCCGAAATTTTTTAAAAAGCAGCTTTTAAAAAAAATTTACAAATTTATAAATAAACCCAATCCTAGACATGTATTTATAAAAAAACCCAAGCACTATTTAAATATAGAAACACACCCAAAATCAACCCCAAAGTCAACTTTTTGGGTGTGTTTATAAATGGGTTTTGAGTGTGTGTAATGATGGGTTTTGAGTGTGTTTATATGTTTAAATAGTGCTTGGATTTTTTTATAATTTCAACCTCCATTTTGGGTGTTTTAGTGAAACTCCCAAAAAAAATTTCCAAAACTAAGGTGTTTGGTAAACAGCAAGAATCAGCTTTTAAAAAAAATTGTGGTCAGCGACCGCTGTTTTTCCAAAGCAGGGAGAAGGCAGCTTTCAAAAGCTGCTTAAAAAAAAAAAATTAACCGGTAGTTTTAATGAAATTTTGGCTTTCCCAGAATGGCCTCACTTACTTTTAAAATGGACAATCCTTGTCCCTCAAATTACACAACTCCCATCTGCAACTCTTCGAATCAAAATGCACAGAGAAGGAGAAGAAGATAAAAATTTTGAAAAAAAAAATGCAGAGAGAGAAGAAGAAGCCCCATCAAATCAAAGAAGAATTCATACTCAAGCGAAGAAGAAGCCCCTACAACCTTGAAGAATAGTTAAAAATCTAAGATTTGAGAGCAAGAGAAAAACAAAAAAGTGAATAACTCTGTAAACATATACCATAACTTCAATGATTTTACCAACTACCAAACCATGCAACCACAAAATATCCAAACCCCAGCTTCCCCATTCCGTCATGTCCAGCCAAAGAAAATCAAACCAGCTTCCCACCAAAATAAAATCCAATCTTACAATCCCACTCACATACATAGAGCAAAGGACCATGAACTCAAAGCTCTCTTGATCTGGGTTTGGATTGAGTTTTTAGTTTTAAAATTCTTGATCTGGATTTTTTTTTCTGGGGGTGTTTTGAGGCGATGGCGAAGAGAATAGGGGGCGAGAGAGAGAGAGAGAGAGAGATGGGGTGGTGTTTTTAATTTTAATTTTGTACATATATTTTTATATTTGTATATTTTATTATTATAATAATATTTTTTAGACTAAATTTTTTGATTAAAAAGTGTAAATTAAAAAAAGAAAAGGTTGTGAAGTTGGTTTTTTTTTTTTTTTTTTTTTAAAGTAGAAAAGGAATGAATAAAAATATAACCAGTTTCATCTTCATGTCCTTCTCTGTCATTATACACACTAAAAACACTTTTGATAAAAATTTACCAAACACTTTGACTACTCACAACAGTTTTCAAATACAGTTTACCAAACGCCTAACTGTTTTTTTCACAGCAGAAGCATTTTTTTTTTTAAGCACAGCAATGTCAAACTAGCCCTTACCACCCACAAAGCCAAACCACAAATGATAATCGCTTTTGGAAAAAACATTTATATTATCCAATCACATGGAGACCCAAATTGCGGCTGGATATATAGTAAACAAATACAACATGTTTTTCTTTTGGCTAGAAACATCTTCATATTTAATTTATGATTGAAGGGAAAAAAAGAAAAAAAAAAGAGCGAAGTATGAAGACCACTAAAAAAAAAAAGCAAAAAGCTAAAAAGCAACTATATCGGGACCGATCTGAAAAAGTTTTATAATTTTTTTTTTCCTTCCATAGATGAAAAATTCAGTGATAATTTGTGGTGTTAGGACTCATTTGATTTTCAATTCGTTCCTTATTCGTCTGTACTTCTCACCAATGAAAATTCAATTTGTTTATTGACAAGTAGATATGCTTTTGAAGATTATGAACAAAAGCAATCTTGCTATGGGACAGAGAGGGGGGCCAATTAAAGCCAAAAACGCTTAGTTTGGCATCTCATTCGCTGATTAATTTATTTGGGCGATGTAGAGTAGAGGTACATCTAATCTAAATGGATGCAGTAGACATGCCCATAGTTTATCCCGAAATCAAATAACGATAGTTGATTATAAAAAATAAACCATCATCGGATGCGGATGTGTATTGATTGGAGCAATTGCTCCCTTAGGAAATGTTACGGATTCGAGTCCTAATATCCGCGTAGTGCATGTGAGTTTAGCATGTTCTTACCCCTCTCAATGAACATGTCAAAATTCTCAGCATAATTAGGGACCGTAGCAGTCATGGACACCAGCAACCATGAACATATGCCACAGCAAGAGATTCATTTATTAGGGTCTATGAGAAATGAAATAATTGTACTACTCATAGGGAGAAATCTAATCATCAGGCAGGCCAGCACCTGCGTTAAATTAAGTCAAATCATGTCCCAAAAATACTGCAACATGTTACCTCTTTCAAAGTTTTTGACAACAAAATGCATGAGCTGAAACTACAAAAGACCAAAAGACGTCCTTGATGGTGAATTCGTCAACAGCAAAACCCACAGCCAAATAATATTTCATGCGAAGCAGAAAACGTCCTCGCCCCCACCCCCCACCACAACCCCCATTATAAAAACTAGTAAAGAAGCATCCTATGGAAACTAACAGTATTGTCATGATGCAACTCCAACGTTGGCTGAGTTATGGCCATCTTGAGCTGCGGAACCATGGTGGTTGTAAGAGGGCCCACCACCTCTACCGCCCCTTCCCCTATTGTTATAGTAGTTCCTCGGATAATAATTTCCAGGCTGGTCATAGAACTGGTTGCGGCCATTCTGGTAGGGTCCACCTCCTCTTCCACTGCCTCGAACTCCACGGCCATTGGTGTTTACTCTACGCCCACCTCCACCACGACCACCTCGTTGGTTTTGATATGGCCTGCGTGAAAATTGCTGTTGCTCGGATTCTACATCTCTTTGATTGTACTCTACTTCTGTTTCTAGCTTGGCTTGTTCTTGTTGAACAGAGACAACCTCAGAAGGATTTTCTGTTTCTAATTCATCCTGAAAGCAAGATTGTCCCTTATTTCAATAAATAAATAAAAACAATTTCCAGGAAGAATTGACAGGAAAATGCTTAAAAAGAATGAATGACCGTAGAATGCTAAGCACAGAGCACCACCTTCTGAAGTTCCTCTGTGCGACTGGATTGGTTATCACCAGTCTCGTTTCCTTGAAAATTTGCTGTGTCTTCATCCTACAGAGCATATACAGAAAATTCAACACTTATAACTTGACCAATTGCTTTTGCTCAGTTAACAACAACAATAACAAAATCAAGTAATCAAATATATTATAAATGGGTGTGACCAGAAACAGCATAACAACGGAGTTGAAATAAAGACAGCTATCCCATATGTATCGTCGAAAGGAAACAAGTAAACATTGCATGCTCAAGTTGTCATCCATACCAGATTAAACAAAAAAAAGTAAAGATATCTTTATATCTTAGAAATATATAAGAAAGAGAAATGCATTAGACAATCTTGATTCGAAGTTTTGGATAGATCTCAATGCACTCGTTCAAATCATCTCACATGCAAATATAAAGAACTCCCAGGTAAACTAAAAAAGATGTATTGTACCCCTGCCTATCTGTGAAAAATTACCCCTATTTGAATTTACACCACCACTACCAGACACAGCCCCCCCTCCCCCGCGCCCCTCTTCAAACCTCTGACAAGTATGGCCGATACAGAAGTTAACTTATTGCAGAATGGAAGTCAAGTCTGCCTCCAAACTTGTTAATCATATAATTTAGGTCGTGGACAAGTTCACATACATCCTCCACAAGTCATAAGTTGCATTTAAATCAAAACAGGCACAATGGGTTCAGGAGAAATGCAGTGGAGCTAAGGGCCAATGGCAAAGCAAATAGATTAGGCTGAAATACAACAGGCGCATCACTAAAATGTACCCTCTGGCAGCAACCAGACTTACTAAACTAGACTGAAATATAACAACCATAGATTCATGAGCAAAAATCCCTAAAGGAAGCGGAGTGGGGAGTAGGTGGTGGCAAAGTCCGCACACACCACCACCCCAAACACCCCCCCACCCAAAAACAAAAAAAAACAAAAAATCTTTGCAGAGCACCCTCAAACAGACTACTTTAAATAATATGGCTCAGATTCAGTCGAATGGGGTTACCAAAAACTAAACATTTTAGATGGCAGCAAAGTTGTACATGACATGTTATACAAAGTGAGATGGGAACCAACAACTACCTACCCAAAAGGGCTAGAAGGTTCTAAGCATATACACATCATATCAAATATCTTAAAGAGTAGTGGAAAAAGATAGAAAAAAAAACTTTTAATATGTGTGGTTCAGCTGTAAAGGAGATAATGAAATTTCAATTTCACAACAAAATACATCAATGCACGTTAGAAAGATTTTAATGATCATTGGGCATAGCATTCAGAATAATTATGACTATTGTTGTCACATATACAAGAAGCACATAAATTTTTCACAGATCATGTTTGAGGCACAGAGACCCACAAATGAATGCTCACAGAATGACAACTTCTGAGCCTACAAAATAAAATACGACCTCAGTTGAGACTAATTCTGCTCGTGGTTCAAATAATCATAGTTTCATGTAGTGCTAAATATCAATCTGCAATATTCTAATTTATGTTGGTCAGTTCAACAAAGAAAATATCTTTCACTATTTCATAGTTTCCAAAATGCTTGCACCTAGAAGGGAACATAAGCTGCCAACAACTCATTACTCACAGTAGTTAGTTCCTGAGATTGTTCTACTAATTTCCAGCTTCCAGTCAATTAAACCCTCTTTAAACTTATGATAGACACTACTATGCCCCACAGAAACAGAGTTAGATCACCACATCTTGCACTTCAACGTTTCAATCAACCAACAGAAAAATATAAGCATGAGTATAAAGAAGACAAATGTTCTTAAAAAGAAAAGATGGTCCACTACTCATGCTAAATTGCCCACATAACATGTCTAAGTTTATGTGTTCCCAAATATACCAATTCTCGGAGATTTTCTTTGCTTACATCATTGTTTAATTTTTCTAAACATAATTGTTTTGATGATATGCTGAACTAAGAAGTAAAAACAAAATCATGCATCACAATCGAAACACACAAAAGATCATAATGACCTAAGCACCTACATTGTTATTGGAACAACACAAAGCAGACCCCATATCACAAGTAGCCAAAACTTAAAACTAAATCAAGTTATACCTTCTGCTGGAAGTGTGCAACTTCACCTTCCACCTGGACAGGCACCTGCACCTGCACCTGAAAAGGAGCATAGTTCCCAGCAGCAGCTGCCGCAGCAACTTCCACTGGAGCTTTCATTTCCGGCGTAGTAGTAAAGTAGACCGAAGCCATAATCTTACTAAGTCTCTCTCTCAAGCTGGCATCTACATAAAAAATTAAACCTTCAATGTCAGAGAATCAACCACATAATTTGCAAAAACCCAACTAAACATATTTCACAAAAAGATTGAAACTTTACAGGTCACACTGGCATTAGGCTCAATGGGTTGGTCCGACTTAGCGAGCCAAAGCTTGGCGTGCTCGATACAGCGCTGCAACGCATTCTTATGCGACAAGCTGGAATCGACGGGCCGCGAGATCAATAACCCACCGAGCGTCGAAATCAAATCCAAGTCCCTCGCGCCGAGCATCTCAGTATCGTCGTCGGTGATGGTATCGTAGGTTAAGCAACATTCTCTCTCGTGGGTCCTGGTCAGAATAATCCGGGTGAAGTCACTCGGCGACTTGACATCGAACAAGGAACCAAAGTAGAGTAGATTCAGAAGCTCCTCGACGGAGGCACCTTGACGGTCGTCAGATTCAGTGGGCTGGGCGACATTGGACTTGTCTTCCTCTTGGGGTTTATCATCCAAGAGTGGTTGGGTGGAGGCGGAGACCTGGTGGCGGTGCACCGCGAGGTCATGCTCTTCGGTGACGGCGACGGAGAGAGGTTGGCGAAGCTTCTCGAGCTCTTCGATGAGGACGATGACGGCGGGCTTGGAGCGGAGGACCTCCTCTTGCTCCTTGTTGAGGACCTTGCCTTGGGAAAGCGCCTCCTCCATCTGGATTATGCGGTTTTGTTTCTTGCGTAAAGCTCGGATGCGCTTGTTGATGAGGCTGAGGACTGGTCCGTCGGAGAGGTCCGAGGCCGCGGTGGCCGCCATTTCGACTATTGGTTTGGTTCTAGGGTTTTCTGTTTTGTGGTGATCGGCGAGAAGCACCACCAGGTGGC